AAAACAGCGAGTCAGACTACAAAAGGCCACCTCATTTTAGAAAATAGTTCATTCATCTCAGAACCCAACATATTTCGGAAATTTAAAATAATATTAAAGTTGTTTTACTTATGAACCCTGGCTAGAGGTTTGTTTCAGCTCTAAAGATCAACTTGTGGTTCTGAAATCACGGAAGTTATTCTATCATCCATGGACGCATATATTCCTCTTTCAATAAAACGACCTTCTAACGGCAAACCTTAATTCAACAAAAATTGCGAATAAGCCATCGCCTTCGAAAATATCGTCTACCGACAGTGACGCAAAAATCCCAGTGCCGAAAACCGAACTAGGTTTGTTAATGCTCGCAACAGCTGCAAACTTAAAATAAATGAAAGCAAAGAACTTCAAAGAATTAGGGAAAAACTGCTTGCCAATCCCAACGGGTCTAGATCCTTCTGGTCGGTAGCTAAAGCTGTTAATCAGAACTTCACAAAATCCACAATTCCACGTCTATCACAAGGGGATGGTTCAATTGCAACAACAGCCATAGAAAAAGGAAATCTACTAGCTGAACAATTTGCGTCCCTTTCCACAGGCACCACCTACTATTGCCACAGCGTCTAGTCAGGCGAATTTTGAAACAACTCAATATCAACAAGGCGTCTGTCCCTGATGAAGTGCCCGTCATCGTACTTAAAAAGTGCGCAAATGAACTCGCAGATTCCTCGCGTTCAGCCTATTCCCAATAAGGGCAAAAAAACCTTCCAAATAACTATAGACCAGTCGCTTAGCTATCAGTGTTATCAAAAATCATGAGGAAGGTCGTAAACCACCATATCCTCAAATATTTGGATGGCTTCAACATCTTGAGCGATCGAAACAAAGATCAACAGCTTCGATGCTATGGCTTGTTGGATCATTTTTGTGTATGCCTCTTCAGTTTCCTGAAAGAACGTTCCCTGTAAGTGGCCGTCGATGGATATCTCTCGAATATTTTCACCATTAACGCTGGTGTTCCCCAGGGATCCATATTGTCTCCAACCCTCTTTTTATTGTATATCAACGACTTATTGAAAAAACTAAGAATCCAATATATTGCTTTGCTGACTATAGCACACTTTTCTCGTCATTCCATTTGGATTCCAGGGCATGGGCTACGGAGGCACATCTTCACCAGCAGCAGGAGGTTGCATTTCATAATGAGCATCTAGAAGTGATTTCAAATCGGGGTAAAAGTAACCAGGTTCAATTCAATGACACAAAAAATGTCTCCGTATAATGTATAATACAATTCCGCTTTCTGCTTCGATAAGTTTGTTGGCGGTTAAAATGGACACCGATATGTCTTGGCACAATCATGTTGCTGGAATTGCAAAGGCTGTGCTTCTCAAAAGCGTGGAACACTTTTCCGAACCAGAAAACTGTACACACCCAGCAACTTTTGATGCTTTATAAAGCTTAGATCAGACCTTCTTTGGAGTATTGTTTTCATGTATGGAGCTTTGCCCCCAAACATAGCCTGAAGTTGATGTAATCCATCCAGAAAAGAGCCATCCGCCTAATTGGAGACGCAAACATCACATGCAACCTTGATAGTCTGGAACATCGAAAAAAGGTTGGAGATTTGTCTTTCTTCTATAGATACTTTCACGGGAAGTGTTCAAGTGACTTGGCACATTTCATTCCACCAAGAGCGGTACATATCAGAAATACGAGACGGCTAATCGTTTTGGGGTTCAACTCAGTACACCTCGATCTTCACTGTTTAATAATTTTTTCATCTGGAGAACTGCGTTTATGTGGAATAAACTTCCTGAGAACGTTTTTCCAAACGGATTTAATCTCCAGCGATTCAAATCCAATCTGAATCGCTACTTTCGCACAGACATTGCTCTTAGTGCGCCTTAAGGATTTTCTTGTAGTACTTGTGTTTTGTCCTTAAACAAAAACTACCCATATTTTACTTCAAGACGAAATATCAACAAACTAAAAAGTTTGCCCTTTCTACACTTGTATAAAGTTCCCCATTACAGTTTTTATATTTTTCAGATTGTGAGAGATGAAGATACCCAAAGAATATCTATAAAAATCTATAAAAAAACTCCGAATTCCTCCACAAAAATGAATTTCTTTTAAGTATACAGGCCGTTTTTTAACGGACTCCACTATTGCTATCTCGGAAACGGTAACACTAACAATGTCGGTTAAATGGACAAAAGTTTTTTTATATGGGAAACTAGAATGATCTCTTTTCAGACAGAGAATATCTTTAGTTGTTTTTGAAATATTCGTCAAAAACAAGAATTGTTATTTTGGCTCTACCGCCTCCATTTCGAATGATATAAGAAAGTTAGAGGAACTTTCAATACTGACGTTTTTTCTCGAATGATATAAGAAAGGCAGAGGAATTTTCAATACTAACGTTTTCAAAAAACACTTCTTTGTGAGATTTTCACTAAACAGTTTTACAAAAAGGCAACACGTGTTTCGCCATACAATGGCTTCTTCGGGCATTTCTTTACATGCCATTGTATGGCGAAACACGTGTTGCGTTTTTGTAAAACTGTTTAGTGAAAATCTCACAATAAAGTGTTTTTTAAATACGTTAGTTATGGATCGACCAATTCCATCATATACTTCATATTTGTTATAATCTGATATCGACCAATTTGCAATGCGACGTTTAGTTCATTATTGTTAGATATTAAGTTATTTAGAACACTGGGTATATTTTAGATTGTAAAAAGTGTTAATATAAAAAGTATGTTTTTTGTATAAGGCATCGTTTCCCGAGCCGCAGTGTTAAATAAAACAGCTTGAGATTGAGTTGGTTGTATTAATATTTTGGCCCTATTCAAATTAATAGTGATCTAAAACAATTATATTTTATCATCAACTTATTTTTTTAATACGGACCTGTATTGTAATACGTAGCTGCATTTGTAATTACAGTAGTTACAAAAACCAATGAAAAATCTAGAGGTCCGTATTTAAAAAAATTAAGTATGATGAAATCTAATGAACGAAACATCGCATTGCAAATTGGTTTATATCAGATTATAACAAATATGAAACAGTATAGAAAGTTCCTCTGCCTTTTTTTAATTATTCAAAATGCAGACGGTAGAGCCAAAAAATAAAATTCGACAATTCCAATTTTTGGAGAATATTTCAAAAATATCGATCTGATATCGATCTGAAGACAGATTATTTCAATTCCCCAAAATAGAAAACTTTTGTCCAATTTAACCTTTCCTTGTAGGTCTTACCGTTTTCGAGATAGTGGGATCAGCCTGTATACTGTCGACCAAAAAATACAGGACCATATTTTAAAATTCAACATGACCCAAGTTGGGCGAGTCCATACACTAACATTCTATGAACATATTCTGAGAGCAAACAGATTTGTCAATATTTTCGCAAACAAATTATATACATCCAAAAATGAAATTCAGACTTTTCCGGTGTTTCTCGTATATCTTTGGGACCAAAATATCTAGAGATGAATTTTTAAATCTTTCAGTTTAGGAGATTGCCGTCCATAGGCTGGAGTTTGAATAGCCCTGTATATCAATATTTTTTCATTGATTACGTTGTGTAGCGTTTTCCATGAGTTTGAACTGGGTCACGAGGGTGATATGAAAAGTTTCCGACCTAACGAAGATACAAGGCATTTTTCAGATTTTTTTATTCCTCAACATAGTCCTTTTAACTCTATACACTCCTCCCATCTCTATAACCCGTCCAAACAGTACTCGGCGTTTTTCTCTGCAAATTAATTGTTTACGGAGGTGATTGATTCGACGAAAATATCTGTTCCTCGAGCGTAATCTTTAGATGAAAATACAAAAATAAGTCGCTTGGGGCTACATCTGGTGAGTAAGGTGGATGGTTAAGCAGTTTAAACCGTAATTCGTGAATTTTCGCCGTGGCAACCGTTGAGGTGTGAGACGGTGCGTTGTCTTGCTTAAACGGGATTTTCTTTCTCTGCAAATGTGGTCGTTTTTCCGCAAGTTCCGCCTCCAGCTTGTAAAGTAATGATGCGTAGTATGCTCCTGTAATGATTTTTCCTTTTGAAGATATTCGATTAAAATAACTCCATGACTATCCCGAAAAATAGTTTTCATCACTTTCCCAGCTGAAAAAACAGTTTTTTATTTTTTGAACCAGTTCCCTCTTTGCAGTCCACTGTTAGGACTGTATTTTTGTTTCGGGCGTATAATGCTGTATTCAAGTTTCATCGACAGTAATTAATCGGCACAAAAACTGGGATTTATCGCGTCTTTACTACGCCAACAAAGCATTGAAAATGTTCATTCGAACAAGTTTTTGGTCTAACGTGAATAAATGCGGCACCCAACGTGCGGACAGCTTTCTCATGCCTAAATGTTGACATGTTCATGACCTCTGCTATCCCTCTCACTTTGATTCGGCCGTCGTCTAGTACCATTTGGTGAACTTTGGCGATGTTTTCGTCGGTAGTTGCAGTTTTTGGACGTCTCGAACATCCATCGTCTCCCAAGCTCTTACGGCCACCTTTAAATGCAGCTGCCCTATATTTCACTGTGGTACATGATGTGCAGAGTCCCCATACACAGAATCCAATGGCTGAAATTTTCGTGAGTAACTGTCACCAGATGAACAATGAAATTCTCTAGCTCTCATTTATGAGTGCTGCCATCTTCATGTCGAGGTAGGAAACTTTTCATACCGCCCTCGTATAATAAATAGACCATTGACTTATTTGAATTTAAAAGGAAAATCTGTAATTGATTTATAAATTTCATTTATGATTTTTTACTCATATTTGATGGTATTTTCTTTCCTTTTGGAATTACAATTTTTATATGCTAAAGAAGCTGAAACTCAAAAATTCATAATATTCATGTACACTCTTTGCAGAAAGAGCTATCTTGTCTTATATCAAAGAACACCAAAAATTGAAATGTTCCGGTTAAATTTAATGTTTTGGCAATTTCACAATCGCTTCCAAGAGTTGAATTTCTTGTTTGTTTCAGGTCTACGTGTACCGACATCAAATTTTTCCATAAATGACGTCCGAATGTGCGTCGGATCTAGAAGGGTGTTAGACGTTATGGATGTCAATACTCAAAAAAATAGTGAAATGACTATGAAAGATTGGCAGAAATATTACGAAGATCCAGAGAAAGATAGACTCTTAAATGTGATATCATTAGAATTTTCCCATACTAAGTTAGAAAATTATGTACAAAGTCCCACTGTAGTAAGGTAAGACTATCAGCTAATAATTATAATGCTTGAAATTTTGATTAGTTGTTATGATAATCTGTCTAATCCAAATTGAATATACTATTGGTAACATCATTGGATCGAACTGACATGAAAATTAATGTTACTATACATGATATTCTAGGCGCGTTTCTCTAATACCACTGGACTACATACAAATCTTATATACAACAGTCACTTAATTGGATAATGGTAAATGAGATAACTGTTTGGCATTATGAAAAAAAGTTTAACAATGGTGAGTGGTTATGGTTTACCTCTTGTTAGTAATTCAATAGGAAATTTGAGTGTATGCCCTTATTAATCTCCAGATACTTCTTGAAATCTTTCCTAAATGATCTTTGAAGGATTTTGAAGGTGCCAATATTTGATAAAAAACTTCGAACGTATACCTTCAAGTATACCTTCAAATTAAATATAATACTGACACCTTCAAGACATTCACATATAATGAAAAAGCATCAGATAAAATCAAAAGACTACTAAATAAACAAATATTTACATAGCATATAAGACTGGTAACTCCTTAGGTAGAGACATACAGGGCGTTCCAACGAAAACTTGACCCCCTCTGTAATCGAAAATTTCAAAGAACACGGCAATTTTTATTTCAAGGGGGACTAATTCTGATATGAAAATAATACCCGAAACTTCACACCCTGCGGTTAGCAACTAACCCCCCTATTTTTTCAATGGCATGAGGGTCTTTGAAAGGTCTTTTGTCCCTCTATTACTTCTGTAATTTTTTTGAAATTGTTTAATTCGTTATTTAGAAATTAAATGTTGAACGTTTTATTCAAGAAAAAACAGGAAATTCGTTGTCGTTCATTTAAATGAGGAAATCAACAAAAAATAATATCAGTGGAAATAAAGTCAACGGATACAGTGTTCAAAATGACCTCCACCTAGTTCCATACAATATACAGTCTACTCTCGAGAGCGTTCCATACATTATTCAAGATGTTCGGAGTCAGCAATCAGCATTCCCGAACAATTCTTTGTCGCAGGTCTTCCAGATTTGTAGGCTTAGTAGAGTACACTTTCGACTTCATTGTCCCCACAGAAAGAAGTCCATCGGTGTGTGATCAGGTGATCTAGCTGGCGACTCCACTGGACCCCTTCTGCCGATCCAACGCATTGGAATTAGTCCCCCTAGAAATAAAAATTGACGTGTTCTTTGAAATTTTTGATTACACGTCCGTTTCTGACTTACACGCCCTGTATAAAAAACAAGTCACACATAGACAAGGATACCAGATCGAGTGCCTACAAACTAACATGCGGATCATGCCCAAAAATTTATATAGGAAGGACTTCAAGAAATTTCAAAATGAGAATCTACGAACATAAAAGAAGTTTGGAATCGAGGAAGCCCAATTCCACCTACGCGTGCCACCTTTTGGAGAACAGTCACGATTTCACGATTTCAACACTATCTAAGACATACTCTATACAGAAAATAAAGGACATAAATTGAACCTGATGGAGTCTCTTAAAATCAATAAGAGCAACCTTTTTTTTCATAATGCCAATAATTATTCATATTACAAATCCTGCTGTCCAAGAACTGACGTAATTGTTTTCAAAATTCAACCGTTATCTCAATTAAGTGAGGTAACTATTACTGTTGTAAATAAGAATTGTAGTCCAATGTGTACTATATTACTACCGATGAAGCTGCGGTGTTAGCGAAACTCGTTTAGAATAAAAGAAAATTATGAAAATTGTTTATTTATTAACGTGGATAATATACACAAACCTTAAAAGGTGATTACACGTCTGGAGAAGGCTTTTTAAGTCAAATTGAAACTAATAAACAAACTGTGAATCCGAATTCGGGTTGATGCGTTTGCGGTAATGTTTTTAGTGGGAAAAATATTTATGCATACAATTTTCAATAACGTGGTATCAACTTATGGAACCCGTCGATTAAATTATTCGTAGCATGACGTGACGAACGTTTGTCTACTAGACCATAGATCGATCGTAGGTTCTAATACCGGTGTGACAACAGAAACGCGTTGACGGATAGAAAGATACCGTCGATATAAAGTCGCAGTATTTAATTTACTTCAAACATGAGGTTGTAACTAAAGCCAGTAAAATAATCCGCTGGGACTTTCATCACACTTTTGAACAATTACATGGTATAAAATGTTTCATTCTTAAAAAGATAACAGTTTATAGGGTTGCAATTTATTTATACATATCTATATTGAAGATCACATTTTTACGTTTCCGGCATTTCTTCTTGCATTTTCGAAAACTGTTCCATTATGAATGAAGAAAAGTAATATTCCTTTTTCCAAAACAAGTTGGCCCATATTTTGTAGGTCATATATTACATAAAGAAAATAAAATGATAGGTATGTTTTGGCCGTTATTGATAATCTTTCTTAAATTTTTGAAAACTATGTATGCCGATTATAAATAATGATTATGTTCTATTGACTACAGGTCATAAATTGCCTGCTGAAAGAATGATAATAATGATCAAAATAGTTACTTTCATTATTCATTATGGAAATGGTGAAAATTGATCCTCATTTTTAGATCACAGGTTGTCCCATATTTTGTAGGTCACAATTTGTCTGCTGAAATGATGATAATAATGACGTTCAGTTCATTATTTTTGTGTTTCTGGTACCATTTATATTTTTTTAATAAGTTTATCATGACAATCTTTATATTTGTGTTTCTGGTACTTTTACTGCGATTCTGAAATCTTTTATAATAAAAATGGTGAATATAGTTCATATTTTATTGATTACAGGTTGTCCCATATTTTGTAGGTCAAAACATTGTTTGCCGAATAATAATAATAATAATTATAGCCATAAATCTAACGATCATTATTTTTGTATTTCTTATAATGTTGTCGCGTTTTAAAAAAGTTACATGTGATGAGTAATGATCTACGTCTTAATATTGATTGTCCTATATTTTGTAGGTCGTACACTACTCATAGAAAAAATAATATTGAAGACGAAAAATCTAAGCATGGTTATATTTACGTTTCTAGTATTTTTTATTCCATTACTGAAATCTTTTATGATAGAAATGGTGAATATTGGTCCTATTATTTCGATTACAGGTTGTCCCATATTTTGTAGTCTTAAAATTGTTTGCCAAAATAATTATAGAAACAATAACTATAAATCTTACCATCATTATTTTTGTGTTTCTTGAACTGATTCATATTTTGTAGGTCGTAAACTACTTGTTGAAATAATAATAGTATCTATAGTCTATTTCAAAAGAGTGTAGAGTAATAAATCATGAAGTGTCATAAAATTTGCCTGAATTTCGTTGTCGTCCATGGGCGTAGGCAAATCTTAGGATTATTAAACTTAATAATTAAAGTAAATTAAAAATTACAGACATAGATAATAATAAAAGGCCATTTTTGGGAAGTAATTTGGTCTAAAACTAAGTTTTATTTTTTACTGAGTGTCTGAAAACTGTGATGGAAATGGCGAATATTGGTCATATTATTTCAATTACAGGTTGTCCCATATTTTGTAGGTCAAAAATTGTTTGCCGAAGTAATGATATTAATTAAGTATTCATAAATGGCATACAAAAGTTTTCTTTTTTTTTTTCAATTTTTTTAGTTACGTAATGTATGACCTACAAAATATGGGGCAACTTGTTTTGGAAAAAGGAATATTGCTTTTCTTCATTCATAATGGAACAGTTTTCGATAATTCAGAAGGAAATGCCAGAAACGTGAACATCTAATCTACAATGAAGATATGTAGAATTAAATTGCAATCCTATATAATCTGTTTCATTCATAAGAATGAGATATTCTATACTATACCATGTAATTATTCAAAAGTGTGATGAAAGTCCGAGCAGATAATTTTACTGGCCTTGAGTTACAACGTAACGTTTAAAGTAAATTTATTGCCGCGACTTCATCGACGTTATCGTTTCTATACATCAGAGCGTTTGTGTTTTCACAACGGTGTTTCTAAACCTCATCTCACAATTTTTTAGAAGACTCACCTATGAATAATATACAGTGCGAACTTAAAAATTCATTTTTAACGGGATAAGGTATCATGGTCGGGCAAAGTTTATGTACTTTTTAATAAGAAAAAGAGTAGTGTGACATCACCAGTTGCTGAGAGGACTCCAACAACTTTTATTTTCAAATATAAAGTGTTTTTGTGATATCACGTTTGGTAGGTCTCACATGTATCTACGAGTTCTGGAATGGACTGCGGTACATTCCCTCAAAAAATCTGTAGATTCAGCAAGGTGGAACAACTCGTTATTATGACATGCTGATTTGACATACTTTATAAAGAAAGTCTTTATTATTTTCGACACCTCTTAGTATGCCAAAAAAAAATCGCCTTTCTTTCGTCAACTTGTGAATGCTTGCCAAATTCTGATTTTCTATGGGTGATTTTTTTTTCTCAAAATAAAATGGACAGTAGATGTATGTAACAGATATTTCCAAATTTTCAGTTACCTCTGACAATGTTATTTTTATGTGTTTCGTACATTTGAGTTCGACTAAAGTGAGGCCAAATAATGTCTGCAATGTAGCCGATAGCGCTGTTTACCAATCCTTTCGTTATGTCAATATTTCGAAGTGTACTACTATTCCACTAGTCAAGACATGTCATTTGATATCCATAATGAAGTAGTTGTGAAATAATCCGCCATGTTGTAGCTGCGGCCATCTTGGATTCACCATGATACAAATTTTATTAAATTATATTGTCGTCAAAACTAAATATGTATACCAAATATCAAATCAATCTCTCAACAGAAAGGGGGTCAAATTTTAATTACTAAATTTGACCCAAACAAACTGTTTAAATAAGTAAGGGTCTCATGAAAGATGAAGAGATAGGTAATATCTATTTTATTACTACAATCAACAAGTTCATGCATTGCCCTAATTTCAGCACGGAACTGAAATCTCTTCGAAACAAGCCGATATATGTGGATGTTCATCAGTCTCCTATCAAGGTTAATTCACAAGTGATTGATCCACCTTCTTCTTGTCCCCCAAATATGAGTTGCAGTTCTCGTAGTTCTGGTTCCCTTTCAGTGGAAGAGCTTCATGAAGCAAGAGCCGAATCGATCCCTCTACGAAACCCTTCTTCACTTTGAAGGATCGATCGCAGCTTGAGAAATGGAGATTCTGTGAAACGTGTTCTTTCTTACTAATCAGTAGAGAGTTGTCCTGAAAATCTAGAGAAGAAAATTGGATTGGATAATTTAAGAAACACTTGCTACATGAATAGCATTTTACAAGTGTTGTTCATGACGAAGAATTTCAAGAACGAGGTTTTAATGATGAACGAGAACGGGAATGTTTCCTACTTATTCATCAAACTCAAACACCTGTTCATGCAACTGCAGTTTCGTAAGAATGTATCATCTTTCCCTCCAACCGATTTCCTGGAGTCTTTGAAGTCCAATAGATACTCGTTAGGACAACAAGAGAATTGTTCCGAATTCTTGGGGTTCTTGTTGAATACTCTTCGTGAGCAAAACAATAGCAAAATCAATATTCCTGACCGCTCTGGATTGAATGATTCCGTACAGTTCATCTCGTCTTGTGTTTGTAAATCTTTTGCTGGAAAAATCCTCACTTGTTTACTTTGTAGTAGATGTTCAAGAGTTAGCAAAAACTTATGTGAATTTCTGGAACTTCATCCAGCTTTTCCTAATATGATTAATAACCAGTCCGTGCAAAGCTTATTGTTAAATAATTTGAAAATGGAATTTTTAACAAGTGATGATCAACTGTTTTGCCAAACATGCGCCAAACTAACTGGAAACAGGAAACAAGTATAGCTGAGGCACCAGTTAATCTAATAATAACACTGATGATCTTCAAACAAGACTCAACCTCTGACGGAAGTAAGAAACTCTTTGGAAGGTTCGAAATAGATGAGCATTTCAATCTAGCAGACCACTATTATAATATTCATGCAGTCATTGTTCACTGTAGTTCTGGCGTTGAATTTGGTCATTATTACGCCTTAGTCAAAGACGAAACGGACTGGTTTAAGTTTGCCGATAGTCGTGTCACGAAGTGTTCTGGCGACGCATCAAATCTATTGGAGCCTCTGGAGACACCCTACATTTTGTTTCACAAGAGAGAGGAAATTGGTAGTTCAAGATCTTCAGATGATGTGGTGCTGCAGGTTTTTCCGGATTTTCCTGCAGCTGAAAAAGCAAATGCGCCACTGGAATTAATGAAGTCGCCCCGGAGCGCCAATTAATTTTTATTGTTGTTTTTATTTTCAGTAGGTGGTAGTATGTTCTCACAGATACCTCCATTTTTTCAAAATATATTTAAACTTATTTTTGAAATGTTCGAACATGTCAGTACCTTCCTGTCATCGATAACTAACAGTTTTTCCGTTACTTTCTCTTTCAAGGTTTTCACATTAGCATAGCAATGCTAATAGATTTAATTTTTACATTCTTCAAATTACCACAAAAAAGGCAAGAAGTGGGAGACCACTTTCCTTAAAGGACAAGTCTTATTACAAAACAGTGTTGACATCTCTAATGGCCAAAAACTCATCCAAAGAATCGATAAGAAGACTAGATCTATGAACATCAATGGTAAACGAGGCTTCCAAAGACTTCCATTGATATATCGAATCGGTCGCCGACAAGAGTCGTTATTTGAGATACTCCTCTGCAGTTTCCAGTGCAAGGCAACTGAAATGGAATCAGAGCCTTTATCATTGATATTTGTTGAGTCTTATGATGTTTCTATTGTATTGATACTCTTGTTAATGAGTACCTTCAGTAAATTTTAAAAAAGTTTAAAAATAACAAACACACTCAATAATACTCTGTCATTTTATTTTCAACTTCTCTTGGAGAGAAACTAGATGATGATTGATGTTCAACAATTCCTATAATCAGCTTTTATTTTAAAAAAATATTTGTTTTCAGACAAGTTGACTGGGTAGATTGCGTGTGGCCGAGACATTTGAAAGAGAGTCAAATAGAAGCAACAAATGTTCTTGAAGAAATGAAATATCCAAAAGTTCAAAAATACTGCCTTATGTCTGTTAAAGGTTGTTACACAGATTTCCATGTAGATTTCGGTGGGACATCTGTTTGGTATCATATTTTGAAAGGTAAGTTCGAAGTCTACACTCACAGTGACAACCGCTTATCTAATTAATTCTAGGGGGAAAAGTATTTTGGTTAATACCACCTACAGAGCACAACTTAGAACTCTATGAACGTTGGGTATTGTCTGGAAAACAATCCGACATTTTCTTTGGCGACACTGTAGAAAAATGTGCAAGGATAATTCTTCAGGAAGGCAACACTTTTTTTATACCTACAGGCTGGATTCATGCTGTGTATACGCCTGTTGATTCACTTGTATTCGGAGGAAATTTCCTTCACTCTTATGGAATTGAAAAACAGTTGAAAATTGCTCAGGTCGAGGATACCACCAAAGTAAGTATGAAATAAAATAGTAGAATAAGATTATTTGTTAACACCATTAGAAAGAAAACCATTAAATTTAGGAAATATAACCAATTAAAGAAATATAATACATGCAGATTTTTTCTATAATTAATTATCGTAAATGCAAAATGCAGAAATGTGTCCAAAATTGGAGTCAAAAGATCCTATGGGTCGGTGACGCCAGTGTGCTAACAAATGTGAAATTTTGACTACGTTCAAAATTGGATACGCTTCAAAATCTGAATAAATGGATAAGTTGCACAAAGTACGTTTTATTCCCCATTTTGGTGTTGTACCGTTGGTTGGATAGTATTGTTATTATGCTTCAAAAAAGGTTTTTATGAAAGTGTTGTATACATTTCATATACATTCTTCAAAAAAGATTACTTATTTCATTTGTGAAAGTGGGTCATTAGAAGATTCAAACCTTTCAAATGTATTTTTCCATTTTACCGAAATGTAATTTTAAAATTACAGAGCCTTTTCTAAAAAGGTTATTCAAAGCCAGTTTCACCAAGACTAGTAGATGTCCAATATATGATCCAAAGGTTTACCACCCTTTCATCCTCACCAGTTTTTCTTTAAGATAGCTCAGATAATTATAAATTCCTATGAAAGAAGCGAATCTCTAGGAGACAAAACACTTCTCAAGAATCGATTTTCTCACAAGACTGTCAAATCTACAGTCAGTTCTTTTTAGTGTCTCGTTGAATTCATTGAAAATATTTTTGTGGCGAAAGAAATAACTTTTTTTGCCTTCAGTTTTAACTAGAAGCTGAGAACTTTAGAGTTTATTTCTGAATATCGATCAATAAGGGCTTTATCAGTTGACTACCTGGAAATATTATTCATTTTAAAACAATTTTTCAGGTCCCACAGAAATTTCGGTATCCCTTTTTCACTGAAATGTTGTGGTATGTGCTGGAGCGATATGTACATTGCTTATTAGGAAATTCACATCTAACCACTGGACAAGATGCACCTATACCTCCTGATAGGCCTCATGTACACCTCACTCAAGCTGAATTACATGGTCTCAAGGTGAAAAAATTCATCTAATCATTATTTTACAAACTAATTTTTTTTTCATACAGGAAATTGTATTATACCTGCATATGCTTCCACCAAATAAAAAGAATGTTCCCGACTTACTGAAGGACCCTATATCACTCATACAAGATGTAAGAACACTCATTGGTTTACACAGACAGGATAATAGGGATATGGCTATTACAGGACGAGCCATTCTGGCAGGTAAATGTTTTGGTTGAATTGAAATATGTTTCATTTCACTCGGACTTTTGGTAATGTTTCAAGCTCAGAGATCTTGATTTGTTAGAATTCAAAACGTTGAAGCCACCGCATATATTTAGTTTTTTTGGAATAGTGACACATCATTTACATATGAATCTAAGTCAACATCATCATCGAAGTGCTGAGTGTTTCAAAACATTATCATGTATAGGGCACGTGATCTCCCAGACAAGGCTGCTTGTTGCCCTAAGGAATGACCAAAGTATTCTTTAATAATATTCGGCTGGGTGTAGGAACATTTTTTGAGTGAAGTATAGAGACACAAATTAGAAGTTTCTTCGGCTGTATCAGTTCTTGATATTTAAAAAATTCAAACTTGAAAATACCGTATATGTACCTACAGCCTGCACGTGTTAAAATGTAACTGCCACTCCAATACTGTAACATGAATGATATTTTTAAAATTTTAAACTTGAAAATACCGTATATGTACAGACTGCACGTGTTAAAATGTAACTGACCACTCCAATACTGTAACATGAATTCCGCCAGCCGATTGCAGTTAAATTTGATTGTCCAGCGTAAGGAGGCTTGTTTATTTTACCTACTAGATGCAAATGTGCGTGGTGATCATGCTTTGATCACGCATATATTTTTGTTTGGGTTACTTTGTTGGATGGATATAGTTTAGATTTTGAGTTACGAACATGCAATAGTCACAAAAAGGGTTATTTTTGGCATATCGATCAAAACAATATAAGCATCACAGCAGGTATTTTAAAAACACGAAACTATTAAACAAATGTGTCTTGAAGATATTCACAGTTTGTTAGTTTATTGATATTTACTTTTTATCCAGTTCCAGAAGACCAAGAGAACAAATCAAAAATAATTAGCCCAAGGGGACCATATAATAAAGGAAACCAAGTGAACAAGTCTTCTAAACAGGGAGTGTTCAAGGGGCCCAAATCGTCTGAAAAGGGAGGGCCAAGAAGAAGACGAACTAGGTAAGTTTTTCATCAAAACTGCTTATTTTGGACTTCATTTCAAAGGTTTTTCAAGCCTTTCATAAATAAAGTAATGTTAGTAACTAGTAGTAGTAAGTAGTATTAGTAACTAACATTACTTCAGTTTCATCCTACAAGGACATTTTCAAACTAATACAATATATATTAGCATAAAGAGCAAGAAGTTAGCCAACATTAATTCAGAAAATATTTTAAATAATGTATTAATGTATAAAGTAAAATCTGAAAGAGGTATTTTTCTATAGACTTTTTAAAATCTAAAGAAAGAAAATTAGCCCATGGCAATCAAGCATTCAAACCGTCATTGTATCTTGGAGTACACAGCAGCAAGTCTTGACGATAGAGTTTGTTTTGGCTCACATTTATATTCAAACTCAACCAAATAAATCCAGCTTGATAATGAAGCAAATCACTTTATTTGGAGAGTGATCTTTCAGGTTAGTGGGACCTTATTAAACACTGAAAACCTGATCTGGATCACGGCAGGACAGGCACAAAGTACGTGCTCTGCTATCAGGATCTTATTTTCCTTTGTGAAGAATGTTGTCAGACCATGGAATTTTTCTCAATGTACTATCGGTCTTGCTACCTTCGTCAGGTAGTTGAGCAACATAAATGTGTGACTTGGAAAGTAGGCCTCCTATAAGACATTTCAGGGAGACACCAGCTAGAATGCGTTCTCCTGATCCTCTCAGGTAGCCTGTAGCCATTTAGACAGAAATGTGCAGTATAGAATCAATTGTACCTGTGAACCATTTTCTGAGATAGCTTCTACATCAGGCATAATGGCATATTGAAGATATTCCAGTTAATTGTTGATGTTTTTGGATGTTCAAGGTGCAAGATTTCCACCTTAATGCTCACAGCAATATTCCCATATGAGGAAGTTTGCTGTCCTGCAATGGGGGAGTTTTCTGTACTGATGCAGATTTTGTTTCTGCTGCTCAAAAATTTAGTGCAAGGCAGGTTTGTTAGATACCCGATAAGTTACTTCATGGTTGCAGCGCCTAGCCTCCCAGGTTTGTTCTAAAGTTGGGGAATTGAGAAGCTTCTACTCCGCATCACTATGTGAAGGCTTCATAAGAGGAAGGGCGCTCGTTATCTCGAAGGTTCGATTATGAAACTTAGTAGATTCAGCGTCATACATATTTTCAGCACCAATACATATATCCATACATCTTAGTATAAGAAATGATTTAGGAGAATTTCATTCCACGGATAACACCTCACCTGGCAAGAGTATTCTAATGCCTCTAGCTGCAGGGCGGAAGAATAGATAGACACCTGACTGTATTGATAGCTGCACTAAAATTTGGGACTACGAAAATCAAAAGAATAGAATTGCAGTTGAGAAGGGTGGTCTTCTTCGAAGGAACAGAAACAGAATGTTCCCAGGAGAAATGTCATTGATTTGAGAATCATGAGAATCATGATCGACAACGTCCGAGAAAATACTTAAAAAAAAAGCACCGAGACAGATTGCCAACATTAGAGAGGAAATAGAGGCAACAACCTCGGAAAAAAGCGGTAGCCCTAGGAAGAAAAAATTCGGTAATTGATACATCACAACTGTGAGATCGGATTTAGAGGGACCAGACCCATAAGTAATAGACAATATGAGACAATATAAGAAAAAAGATCTTTGTCTGAAGCTGGTCAGAAGTTACTCAGTGAAGTTGTTTGACCTGTCTGGCAATAGATCCCGAAATATGGTGCAGTTTCCAAGACTTCTTGGGCTCAGTAGTATTCCTATTGTATCTCAAGTGAAAGAGCCCAGACGAAATATCAGCATCAATAGAAACCTGGTACGTGTCCCACAGAAGCACTATTGCAATACTTGTGCACCTCGAAGAGAAATTGTCGGTTAAAAGAGAACGAGGAAAAACCCCATCCAGATTACAAGTGATGAAAAAAAGAAGGTAGACTGGAACCGAAGACACATCCCACCGCAAAGATACTATGTTGCTGTGGCAACCCTAAAAAGACAACTACAGAGATTTATTTATTTAACGGGTAGTCCCAATGGGGAATGTTCCTCAATTTGGGTTATTACAGCAAATGCAAGTTTGAACAAAATAAAGTTGAGTTTAATTCATGTGTTTTTCAAATTCACTTCGAAAAGTATTCAAATTGATGTTTCAAATGTTGGGTTTTAATTTTCAAAGGGATTTGTTTCTAATTCACATATTGGCAACAGCGCCTATATCAAGTACACGTACCTAGATATTCTACTTTAAAAAAGGAAAATTATCTTTATAAATCAACAATTAAGGCAAAATATAAATTATAGGTCATTACCACCTCCACAAGCCACATAAACAACAGTTGTTTTGTTATTTATTTATATAGGGGAAGATTGGTTAGGTGCACAAAATGTCATATGTCACAGAATGTTATGAACTCGGAACATAACTAAACAGAACAGCACGCCTCTGAAATATGTCATCTTTGTTTGTCTCATACAGGTAACAGATTCATTGTCCTTTACTAGCTATAACCGATGTTGCCAAATGGTAAAATAGAAACGAATCCCTTTAAATGTTGAATGCATTCTCTTTTTTAAATATTTAAATAATTTTTCAAAGAAAAAGGTTGAAATGATAAGTTTAAAATGCGTTGTTTTAGAGCTCTTTTATGAAAACTACTTGATTTTCGTCAGGAGGAAAATTCTCCATTATAATTGAAAACAAAGTTGATAGAACAAAAAATGGAAAAGTCCATACTTGATGAATGTCAACGTGAAGATATCCAATCAGTCTGGTTTTGAAAATCATCCCCGGTGAATTTATATATAAGTCCTGTTTCGTTTTTAAAATCTCCGGTCTGTGTGCTATAGTGTAGCTATAGTGGTGTGGTACATTATTTGCATTGGAGGTAAGCGTTAAAATATACCAATAGTGCACTTATATGAAGATTTCCAACAATTTTATTGTTTACGTTCAGAAAAGGGATATTTAAGTGAAATCTTCAGTACAGGCCGAAGAGTTCCAACTGAACTTCCGGGGATTTTTTAACTTCATCGAACTTTTGCCTGCTACCTGCTTAGCTATTGACTGGGTGAACTCCATATTGAATAATCATCCCCTACACTCATCTGAGTAACAGCTAGGCAGCCCAGGAAATAACAGGTCTCTGTAAAGGCTTCAAATGTAAGTTGTCAACAATGAAGAAAGGAGTAGAAGCCAAATCAACTAACTCTGCCGTCTTCGAGTGGAAGAAAACCGAAGCAAACCACATTGACGACTACCCCCGACCAACAACCATCGAGCAGGGTCAGCACTGGGGGTAAGCTCCCCCACTGTTCTGTGAGCCAGAAAACGCCGGGTTCCAGCCCGGAATCACTAAGATGGGACTCAACCAATCCGAAAACTGTGGCGGTGACCCAACCCAGCCCACAGGATCTCCATCAGTTAGCACTGGATTCACATCAGTGTAAAAAATGTGGACACAAGAGTGGATCTCAGTGTGCGCTGCTGCGCCACAGACAAATATGTGGTGTTAGAGATAGGCAGCATTGCATCCATTGTGGGAAATTCTATGAAACGTAAAGTTGGTCTATCGCGAACCAATTGTCATTAACATCGGACGACAGACCACCTACAGTGGTAATGATCTTCCTAGATGATCGACTCAAAATCACATGAACTAGTTCCTGGGAATGGAGTAACTTGAAAAGTGAACTCAAGAAGACTGGAATTCTGTTCACAAATTAACAAAAATGTTCGAATATGATATACTCGTATTACGAGTTAGCATCGGACTGCAGGATAATTTCAATCAGTTCGCAGAATAGTTTGAAAGTGACAATGAAATAAGTACGATAATCATAGAGTGTAATCAAATGCAGTATTAAATCTGAATAAGCTTGCCACTTTTTTAATATTAGGAACCCACTCATAGATTTAACATTAGTGAGGAAGAACGTTTTTTAAGCTGTTACTTTCAATTTTCTTATCAAGGTAATGTGTTCATTTAATGAATTGATTCACCTCTATTTTTTTGAGACTATTTATAGGACATGAAAACTGTTTTGTGATTTTGTTATTCCCATGTTGTCAGTGGCACTGAAAGCTCCCAGACAAAGTTCATTTTTATAAAGAATACGAGAAAATCGTTCTAAAAAGCTTGTGGTGATCATACATTTGTTATTTCAGGTGTAAAAAATGCGAAGCATGTCAACGGAGCGATTGTGGTGAATGCAGCTTTTGTCTCGACATGGTGAAGTTCGGAGGTCCTGGTAGAGCAAAGCAGACATGCAACATGCGACAATGTCTTCAACCGATGCTACCAGTTACGGCAGCTTGTGCTTACTGTGGATTAGATGGATGGATGCAGACTCCAGTGACCCCATTACAAAAAGGTCCCCAACGTTGTGAGAGCGCCAGTAACCTCATGGAATGTTCTGTAAGTGAATTGATTTGTCGAAACTGCAATAATAAAAGAGCACACAAAGCCAGGCTTCGACGCGAAAATTATAAGACTGAATAGGACTGGACAGTTAACCCTTCTGTGATAATTTCTGTATCATGCTTCAACGTTCAAAATAAAAATTTGTGATATAATGTGATACCTACCTGAAGAAATTTATAAAATGTTTCTTGTATTATAGGTAAAAATCTTTGTATCATGAGTATTCAAAATTGTTCTTAATAAAAACATTTTTAGAAGTAATAATAAACCAGAAAAAACGTAGTATCTTCATTCAAAATAAATCGCAGGTGTTAGGTATACCAATTCTAACTCATTGTTCATTTATCAACTGTTTAAATTAAAAAGAATAAAATCTGGGCTAGTAGGCCTTGGAACCTGAAGTACTAAACGTTTCGTCTGATACTGCGGCAGGCATCATCAGTGGTGTGAGTGTTGACTGTGAGGACAAATATTGTATCAGTCCCAGTGACAACTGACTGTTTTAAATATTTGTCTTTAGTATATTTCTGTTCTCGAAAAAGGGTGATAGCTTTGATCAACTTTTGAAATTGGGAGAAGAAAATTGTAATCAATACAATACAATCCAGTTGGTTACTTGACATTAATAGCATGAATAGCCGGTGTAACTGAACTTCGCCTCCACTTCTGAAAGTTCGAAGCTTCTGAATGAAACAACAGTTCAGTATCAGTACTACAAATACTGTTTAAAATCCAAGTATTTTAATGTTAATTCCTGAAATCCCAAATAAACAATAAAAAATGTTATTTGGAATAAAAAAGATAGCATTAAAATTTAAACAAATCAAAAATACTTTTTATCGAAACTTAATGAGTTTTTCTGTAAAAATCGTAGAAACAAAGGGTAGTTTGCAGTGGAAAACTTGAAGTTATTTTTTTTTCCAATCATTTATTACCAACAACCAGCTTTTCTCTATGAACAATCCTTAGAAATCTACAAGAACTAAGAAAAGATGAAGATCTTGTGTGAGATCTAATGCATGAATAATAATAAAATGTAGTTATTTTATATTTTCTTATAAAATCGGGAAACATTTTTGTAAATTAAAGGAGTACCTCACTTTTCATTGTTAAGTATATTCAAGTATATATTGCACCAAAGTTCGCTTTATTACAGATTCAAAAATTCACCAAGTTCCCAAAGGTTTCACAAATTTGATATGAAGTCAGCTGGTCCTTACATATTTGTACTTTTGGGATTTAGATAAAATTTTTAGCACAAGTTACATACACAGTTCAAAAATAACTGAGAGATAATAGCTAAGATCCACCAAACTACCCAATAATTTTTAATGATGAACAAAACACTTTTTTCATAAAATAGTATATTATGCAACGATTATGTAATGATGGTTATTAATACACGAGCATTTATGGGGATAACAAACCGAAGATGAGTTTTCATGTACTAGATGATCTCATAGTTTCCATCAATTCTTGAAAATAAGCAATTAAAACATTTTAGGAGAATGTCAAAATATTATTTGTATATCTCCAGTCCATAAACCATTGATATAGTTTTTTGTGCACTTACATTTTTGGGGTAAAATATTTCCCCGATATGTGTGGAGGAGTCAATGGTAATTCGTCTATATCACTGATATCAGACATTTTGATAATATAATTATCGAAAATTTTGCTATATTCTATGAACATTTAATGCCTACTGATTTTGACAAATAAAACAATTATATAGAAATGTAAGATAAATGTCGAATGCACAGCATGTTTGATTGAAAAATTATGGGTTTCTACTGATTATAAATTTGATTTATCATGAAAAATCTGTATCATAATGGATCTCATTATGAAACGGACTATGGGCATATAAGTGTTTTATTATAGTGTGGGCGTATACAATAACTTGTCAGGCTGAACTTGAAGTTGGTCCTTTCAACACCCTTAGTTAGTTCTCCATTATAATTTCAATTTTTCCGATGGTGGAAGGTGAAAATCACTAAAAGGGTTTTATGAAAAAACTCAAAATATATTTTTGATTTTTAACTTTAATTTTGATTATAATAGTCACATAACTATAGAAGTGGATATTATTTTCAAAGGAGATCTCAGAGTCATTATGGTATCACTTTCAGAAAATGAAATTTAGAATGAAAATTGAACTCGCTTGTTTGTTACATAATTCAAATTGTCGGACATTTTTAATGTACACTGAATTTTTATATCTTCATTAGGTTTATGTAAAAGCTATATTCTTGGTTTTTTGGCCGAGGTCTGAAGGTTTTTAAACTCCGAAAATAGCTTTGACATAGTTATCTCCAGTCTTTAAAGTTTACATTCTTTCAAGGGTTATTTTGAATAATCCTAATGGTGTATTATGGCAATCTTAAACAAAAGATGAATTGAAAAAAAAAAAAGCAATCACAATTGAATTATCATTGATTATAGAGGTTAAAAAAATATAAAGGGTGTTTCACTATTCCTTCAGGTAGCATTCTATGGAGAAAATTGAAAAAAATTGAGAATTTAACGCTGTATATAAATGTAATTTATAGAAATGTGTAGAATTTTACTTAGCTGGTCTTCCTAAAAAGATGAGGTGGATGAGGCTACATCATAACATATACTGATGAAATCTCAAGATGTTTCAAAATTAGAATAACCAAATTAGTAGAGCATATTTTGACAAAAGATGGTGATTAGGACAACGCCATAATTCTGATAACAGAAACCAACGAAACTAAAAGAGAACTGAAAAAAAGCAGTTTCTATCATGTTGAACAGAAATAAGAATATGGCATGATTCACAATCATTTTCAATCAAAAATAGCTTCCTCTCCTGTGAAAGGAAGGTGAACAGGGACACTTCCATATCAAGTAATATTCAACATCCAGTATACTGTGTATGCAAAAACTGTCAGTCAGTTTGGAAACATTTTCAATTGACTTATTTGTTTTTCTGTGAGATTTTATTCAGTTTTCAATCAGAATATAAAATAGAAAGAAAACAGAGGACATTTCCATAATGTAATCCAAATGAAGNATTCTAAAAAAAACATGAACAGCTCTACTCAGAATTCATCTGAAGTGAAATATTAGGTTGTTTCAAAAGTTTTGTCCGTTCTTGAGTCTACTTTAAACTAAAGTATTTGGTGAATACTTATTCAATTTCAGAGAAATGAGCTCTATTTGAATCAGTGCACTTTTGCCAAGTAACACAAGTCGATTGATTCCGTCAGCATAAAAATTGTGTGGTCTGGATTCGACAAAGATCGTTTTTGCCTGGTCCTAATTGGCAAATGTTCTACCGATGAGAAAATTACCTAAGTGCTTGACAAAATACTAGTCCGTTGGCGAGATGTATGGTGGCTGAGGCAGAACTTCGACGCAAAATTCATTTTAATTTTTGAATGGTGAATTGTGAAATGGTCGTTGTCGTGGAGCAGGATCGGACTTCTTCTGTTGACCAGTGGCGGCTGATGCTGATGCAATTTTCGGTACATTTCGTCGACTTTCTCACAATGGGACTCTGCTGAGATGCTTTGGCCCGGTTACAGAATGTGGGGTACCCACTTTTTGGAGCTTTTTGACTTTCCCAATACGTTTTAAACCATAAAAACTGCATGGGAGTCAACGTTCATTAGCAATGCCATTGCCAAATGACTGGTTAATTTTTCGGTCTATTTCGGCAGCGTTTTGGTTTAATTTAATTTTTAGATGATTGACATCATATGGTAATAAGCTGAAAAGAGGCAAAATAAATTGAAATTTGAAAAAAATCAACAGCATCAATGCTTAGAGTAAAACATTCTCTAACGATCAGTATATATCACGACACAGTATAATAAAAATTTATTGAGATATGGAGCTACAAAAACACATGACATTGAAACGGACAAAATTTTTTAAACAACCTAATAGTTTTTACCCTGTTATTTTATCAGCGTATGCATTGGAATGTTTTTTCATTTACCAAAGTTACTAATTGGTTCATATTTCTTTTAATATCATTGAAATACTTTATTGCAAAGTAAAATTAGTTGACCTCGACAAAATATTGGAAATTTATTCCAAATAATTCTATCAACACTGAAAAGTAAGTAATTTATATTTTTTCAGGTCTGCTACGAAATTGCCCATCCATTGTGCGTCCAACGTCTTTACCCAGAATTTTCCGGGTACATCAACGAAGATATGCCAAATTCTTGGGAATGTCCGATTTGTTGTAAGCTAGGCAAAAATACAGACTATAGACCTCGTCATTTTCGCGCCAGACAAAAATCGTCAGACATGCGCAGAATGTCGATAAGTTCAGATGCTTCTAGTGCTTTTGACAATAAACACCACCAAGAACAAATGTCCGATTCGGGAAGTGAAAGTGAGCAAAGAGACAATAAAGAATTGCTACCTATCAAAAAACGAAGATCGAGTGAATGTGCAGAAGTCGAAACAAAAACTGTACCAGTAAGTGATCCTCCAAGAAAAACAGCTTTCAGGATGCAGCTAGCGCATCAGATAGTCAGTAATTCTACTAAAATACTCAAGAAACCAATGGTGGTAGTTAGACCCGCACCTATCATGATGGTGAACCCAGTATCCACTAATAACCTTGCTATGGATAAACGTTGTCTACTCCAAGTTTTCAGATATTTGTCCCCAAAGGACTTGCTTACTAGCTCTTTAGTGTGTAAAACGTGGGCCACCTTCACCGTAGATCCTTCATTGTGGAAGAGAATGGTTTTTAGCCGTAAACAGATATCATCAGATATACTGAAGGGCATCGTTAGGCGACAACCTGAAATACTTCACTTGGACTGGTGCCATGTTAACAAATTTCAACTACCGTGGTTAATACAGCGACTGAATCAACTAATAGAACTGTCACTAGTGAGTGTGAATGTAAAGACTGCCATATCCTTGCGTACTAATCATTCGGCAGTACTTCAAGTGTTAGATTTGAGTTTTATATCTGACTTCAGTGATTCTGCTCTACGCGAAATTCTAGGTCCAAACAATGACTCTAGGACAGGACTATCAACAGAAAAAATCCGATTTCGGAATTTGAAAACTCTTAAACTTGCTGGAACTGACATAACTGATATTGCTATGCGATATGTCACGCAATATTTACCTAGTTTGCAACATTTGAGTTTGAGTTCATGTCCGAGAATTTCGGATGCAGGTATAGCACAGCTTTCAACGAAACCAGCTAAAACTGTCACAAACTTGATTAGTCTTGATTTGAGTCATGCCAAGCTGGTAACTGAAAATAGTTTAGAGCATTTGTCCAAATGTGAAAAGTTAACAAGATTAGATTGTCGACATGCCTTACAAATTTCTACCCAGGCCCTCATTAAATTTGCTGCTAAAAGTGAACATAATCTGCAGGTTAAAGATATCAAACTTGTTGATGTCAGGCAAAGGGTTTGAATATATGGCATAACATTAGATTAATGAGGAAATATATTTTGTCCAAAGTTCTTGACTGATTGAAATATAAAGACGAAATGAGCAGAATTGTAAGGAATGTCAATTTTTTTGGATTATGTCAGTATTTATCATTTGTCTCATTTCTCCAACTCAAAGAACCAAGTGGAAGGTAGACCTGAAATCTCTGGCGTAGAATACATCCAAAACAAGTACTGTCCCCAAAGCCAACTGCAACACTCTTCTCAACGCACATTTCACCAACCAAGGTGGCGTCTTCAGGAGATGAAGTAGACTGGTACCTAGTACTTCTAGTACCTAGTACTTCTAGGTACTAGAAGTACTAGGTACCTAGTACTTCTAGGTGAAAGTACTAGGTACCTAGTACTTCTAGAACCAGTCTACTTAGAAGTAGTAATAGTACTTGCTTTGGACAAAGAAGCAAATTATTCCTAAAGATATCATTTTTTTAAATTTGTGAAGTAGTACTCCAGACCTTTTTTCAATAATTATTTTTATCCTAACGTAAATTGAGTTTTCATAAGAGAAATTACAATTACAAAAAAATCTACAGTAAAGATTGGAATTATATTTAAACTTGGGAATATACCTACAATAAAAGACTGAATATTGGCAGCTGAGAAATGAACTGATTCATCTTTTTTTCTGTGTACCTTCTTCAATTTAAGGTTGGGTACACTTAAACATATATGAGTAGTCTGCCGTGTAGAAACTTGAATACAAATTGTCTTTAAAATTCCTTTTCATAAACTAAGTTTATTTTACAATTTTTAACAAAATGTATTTTAGAATAATGAAAAACTACGGTGCATGTTCGCTACTTCAGATTCTCATTTCAGCAAAATCTATTCTCCAAGACAGGAAAGTTTAAAGGACCTGTTCTATTTAGAGACTTGACATAAGGAAAAGTCGATGTTGTGACATTTTTTCACACAAAATTTTGCAATATGAGTAGAGTAAGGTAATTCATTGACCATTTTGAACACAATATAAATTTATGGCAAGTCAGGCAGTGTCACAACTTAATATATGTGTTTATGATACACAAAAAGAAATTTATCCACATCAAAAGGGAACAAATATTATATAATGATAACACTTCCAAAATACAAATAATGAAGTTATAAAACAACAAAAAATAATTGGCGGCTCGGAGCGACTTCATTTCAGCTGTAGGAAAACCCGGAAAAACCTGCAGCACCACATCATCTGAAGATCTTGATATGCCAAAATAAAATCAACAAAACATATTTTGCCAAATTCTGTAAACATAAAAAAAAACAATATTAGAGGGGTTGGAGTTTTGACAAATCAAGAATTTGATGTAGCGAAATTTTTCTGTTTTTGGAGTTGAAAGCATTCTCAGATATATAGTTTAAGTAAGGTAATTTCTCTTGGTTATTAAATAATTCTCATCTTCTATTGATGATTGAATTTTTCAGCAGAATAATGCTTATTTTTATACCGCAAAATCTGAACCTAAAGATACCAACAATTTTTACTTTCAAATTTTCAGTGAAAATGTTGTATACTTATGTAGTAACCAAACACAGATCCAAGTCCTAATAAAAATTATCCTCTTCTGTTATGGACTTTATTTCTGTGATGTTCAAAATAACTGAGTTCAGTAAATTCAGTTTTACGTATTTTTATGTATGTACCAAAGTTTGTAATATTATGTTTTTATATGTGATGAAAATACTTTTTTATGTATGTGAGTTATTAAGAGTTACGTTAAATGTATGATTTGATGAATACTTTTTCAATGTTTCAGAACGTTCTTTATTTTGTGCAATTTAATAGAGAAGCACTTGTATAAAAGTATTACTAGGCAGTAGAAAAATATATTTTTCGTTTAATTTGTATAAATTTATAGCAAAATAAATTTTTCACTTAAGACTTATATATTTCAGTGATTTTATTGTAATTCAGGTCTATCAGAAGCTGAATAGACTCATCTGTCTATTAAATTGCAGGCGACAGGTTTTTTACTAGACTTTCATTCTATGATGAAGAACAATTCTTGAAGTGTCACAACAAATTTAAGTAGCGCTTTTTATTTTACAAATTGATTGAGATCTTCACTGATTTGTTCAATGAAAATGTGAGTTTAAAACTCCCACAAAGAATGACGCTTATGGAAGACATAGAATTTGTAAATCAAACCCTCAGGCGCCAGTTTAGAAAGGTTAATGCAGTCAAGCTGCTGGAAAATAACAAAATCACTAGGAACAACGACCACAGCATCAAAAATTCAATGGAACTCACAGACAGAATCTCTACGACAAATGTCAGTCCGAACACTAAACTGTTCTTGTTCGACATAAAAAACATGTACTCCAACATATCAGTCAACGAAAGTATAAACATCATATCTGAGAAACTAAAACATCAAAACATAGGCAAAACTTACATTAACCAAATGGAACGCAGTCTAAATACAATACTTAATCAAAATTATTTCGAATCTGAAGGGAAAATTTATAAACAAACAGACGGACTGGTGATGGGATCCCCACTATCTAGCATTATATCCGAAATATACCTGCAAACCATAGATGACAAAATCTTAACAATAATAAAAACACATGATGAAAAAAGAGAAAGGTTCAGATACGTTGACGATGGACTGTACATATCACAAAACAATAGAATAAGAATAGAACAAATAAAAAAAGAAATTAACGAAATAAATCAAAAACTATGTTTCAGCATTGAGGAAGAACACAACTCAAAACTTAACTACCTGGACATAACCATAAGATTAACCACAACAGAACACAATTTCAAATGGCAATATACAGGAAACCTACACAAACAAGCTCCACCATACCCGCATGTTCAAACCATCCACCATCACACAAAATGGCTGCCTATAACGCATTTATATATAGAATGTTAAGGATACGACTCAGCAATGAAGCCCGAAACAAAGAACGGAAAATCATATACCAAATAGCGAATGAAAACGGATACACCCAAAAGGAAATAGATTAGACTAGACTAGAAAACAGAATCAAACAAAAAATACAGAAGGATCTCAAGCCACCCCAACAGACAAAACAACACAACAGCATTTACGTACGTAGGACGCCAAAAAACTAACAAACATCTTCAAACCACTGAACATCAACATCACATACAAGCCGAACACGAAGATAACAGTCATAAATCACTTATCGAGGAACAAGTACAAATCAAAACACAACAAGACCTCATAAACAAAACCATACACATTCCTAGAGAAGATCTAACACAAAACAGAGTACCTGACGCAGAACAAATACAGGCAAATTTACCTAAAGTACCTGAAATACCTGAGTTAAGACACTCTGACCGTATAAAGAGGCAGACAACAGGATGACCAGTACAGTTTGAGGGTGCCTAGAAGATGACTACCAACTGTCGAAAGCGCTCGCAGATAATCAATAGAAAATATAAAGCTTCAAATCCTTTTTGTAGAATTTAATATTGAAATATATATAATTCTGAATGCTCGGATCAAAACTGAAACTTCAAGTGAATGCTGAATCTTAATATATTCGAATTATCTAAAAGCGCTATTTCACTTGAAAATTTACCGCTAACGGTAAGTTTTTTCGATATATTTTCCTGAAATATTATTAAGACAACAAAACAAATTCCTGAATCAAAGTGATGTACAATCGCATTATTTCATCAAATCAATTGTGAAATATTTCTAGCTTATTGAAATGAAATCATATAAATATGGGAATGTGATGAAGTCAGTACGGTTTATAGACGAAAAATAAATGCTCATAATGAAAACTTCATTACAATACGTTATGGATTATCATCACGTATCGGCCAATTCCATCACAATATACAATGTTCAAGTTAAAGTGTTCATTCCGCACCATTTTAAGAATGCAATAATGAGGTCCAGAAAAAACCAACTGATAACAATGACGTGCTGCCCATGTATTATTTTGGTTTCAAATAAAATTCTGAATTATAGAACACATCAAGAAACACAAACTAATGTGAGAAACTAAACCGACGGTCTTGAGACAGTTTGGTTCTCGAAAGGAACAGCAAATTTTAAGTGGGTCTTCTATGTGGGCGTCCGTTAATCTCGAACGATATTTATTTTTCATCTTTGAGAAATTTGTTTCACATAGGCACGTATGTCGAGCCAAACATGGTGGCCAAATTTATAGTTACTTTCTTGCAATTTTCATGTTTTTCCGGGACATATTTGGTCCAACATTCTCATTAGGATACCGTTTTATACATTTGCAAAGACACATCTTCTTGAAAATCGATTATCTCTAGTTTAAACAACAACAACAGATTAAACAACTTTGCACCCACATCTGTCCATTCTGCCGCACATCGTTCCTAATAATATCGGCCAGAAATTTCCCAATAACTGCACAATGTCTTCAGAGTTTTTTTTATCTTCAAGAATTGTCGGAAAATGAATGAATTTTTGTTTTACAATATCGTTTTCAAAGATATCCAGCTTGCTGCTTTTCTAAGTTTTGCAAGATGGAGGTTACTTGTTCTTTAATTAGCCAGGCTAGATGGGAAACTAATCAAACCATATCAGTTGTAGGTACTTGTAAAACAGGTTAGCTAGGAAACTCTCAAAATAAAATAAGTACTGAGTTAAATTTTATGTGGCTTAATTTTTTTTATTTAATTAAGGTATTGTATGCCTTGTCTACGTATTAATGTATACTTGGCGGTCTGAGGTTCGACCTTTCGCGGTCCACCTGTTGCTGACCGTTGTCTATAGTATCGAGGGAGGGGGTTTTCTTTCAGTTTGTGTCTGAAAGTCACTTCTATGTATGATCTACACATCTTTGTAAAGAGTTTATTTTGGAATTTGCTTTCTTCCTTTCTTTGAAAATCTAGATAGGGAAATTGAAATAATTATATAGATAGGACATAGTAATGGTTTGAGTGCAGACTCAATTCAGAAGTTAGTCAGAAAACACAGCTTTGAATTTACGTACAGATCAAACAAACAGAAATCAAGAACAAATGCTAGATTTTTCAGAACAAACAATATGTTAGTCAATACCAAGACTCCATTTCGGCCTCATCGAGTTGATGTGGAATGTTTCAGTATTCATATCTGTTTATAAAAAAGCTGATTAACGGAAAAACAGATTTTTTTAAACAGATATGAATATTGAAACATTCCACATCAACTCGATGAGGCCGAATTGGAGTCTTGGTATTGACTAACTAAAATTGCCGGATTTCGTATGTTGATTCTACCGCCTCCATTTCAAAAGATATAAGAATAACGTGAATGAACTTTTGGCCATGTATCACAACACCGGTATTTATCGAGGTTTCTTTTAAAAATCGTCAGAGTCAGGTCATACAAATTCCCATCAGAGATATCTCATAAAAATAAAGACCAATATTTTTCGTACTTCCATATGAAAGTAAAAATTGTTTCCACCGGAGTGATAATTTGTGTGTCGATCAATATTACCCAAATATGCGTAACGGCCAAATTCATGTACACCAAAATTATGCAAATTAGACACTTGTTTCTGGCTCATTAGCTGTCATCGGTATAGCCAGGCGCAAGGTTGGGTCACACTTGTGGTAGGAAACAACACAAATACGCAGAGTCATCAACAGAAGCCAACCGCAGTTTGTGTCTCTGGAGAGATCACCTTTGGTTATAGATTTCACTCAACTCACCACGGAGGCAGCTTAAGCTACCTGCAACAAAAAGGTTATGAAAAAATGATGAAGTTGAAGCAAATCCCCACGTACTTTTATTAGGAAGATTTGAGCTTGATGGTAATTTATCCAAATTTGACCATTTTCATTACGTTTTTCTCATAATTTAGAATAGATTCTAACTTAAAGATGGAGGTCTTCTTTGAAAGACATTGTTTTGTAGAGTAAAATTTCTTGATGTTTTTTAGTGTTCAAGCTTTCACAATCTAAAAAACCAATCTAAATCATTAGCGAATCTGCCTAAATGTAAAGGATAAACTTCAAATCTCACTCTGAAATACTATAAGCTACTCAAAAATGTTGTTTAAATTAAATAAATGAATGAAAAATAAAATTTTATGTTTAACTTCTTCAAAACAACTAACGTTTCGATAAGTAATCAGTGTTTCCCGCAACTAAGTGTTGTCGAACTTTGCACTTGATTATACCGTTTGTTTTCTGTTCGAGCGATCTTGTTTGTTGAATTCATGTATTTTGTAGTATCTATTATATTTATATACATTTCATGTTTTATCATTGATTATAAAATTATCATTTTAAGGAATAAATATACAGTGTATAAAAGCCAAATTAAATAAATTCATTATTTCGGTTACTGTACATATTTTTAAAAAATCCCGAAACACGTCAAATGTAAATTATATTTTGACATTCTTCAACCTAAAAATGCAACCCCTACCTTCAACTCCATTCGAATGACAGGTACAACTCCCAATTTTTTAAATGGAAAGTATAGGTTTGTGATATATTGTTTGGAAGGTCTCTTCATTCTCTATTCAAAAATGTTATCGCTTTCAAGTTTATTGCAACAATTAAGATAAAATAAATTAAAATCATGTGACTACCGAAATTTGATAAAAGACACTCAAAAACTAAAACGTAATGCAAAACTTAAACGAAATGTAGAATACGAAAAATAACTATGGATGTTAAGGAAATAGATGTTCAAAATGTTCACCGCGAACGTCTTGGCAACATCCTAACATCAAATAAAACTGTTTTCTAAAATCATTTAATATATCAGGCGTGACCGACCTAATCGCAAGCGTTATTCGTTTTTATAAATCATTCAAATCTGAAGGTTGAGTTTTGTTCACATTGCTTTTTACATATCCCCGTAAAAAGAAATCTAACGATGAAAGATCAGGTGATCGCGCTGGCCATTCAAT